GCAATCTACCTCATCTACGCAATCTACCTCATCTACGCAATCTACTTTATCTACGTAATCTACGCAATCTACTTCATCTACATAATCTACCTCATCTACGCAATCTACCTCATCTACCTCATCTATGCAATCTACCTCATCTACGTAATCTAGCTCATCTACGTAATCAACCTCATCTACGCAATCTACGTGATCTACATAATCTACGTGATCTACCTCATCTACGTAATCTACCTCATCTAAGTAATCTACCTCATCTACGTAATCTACCTCATGTGCATCGTAGAATTTGAGAATCAAGATTCGTACCTGAATCGATCCCCCCCACACTCCTACTAGTGAAATGTGCTTTTATTTTGAAAAGCATTACCTCTGCTCTTCATGATGTAGTGAACGGCTCGGTCACTGATGGCTGCGTCACTTGGCCGGATGTCCAGAAACGGTTTGTTACCGACTCCCATCGACACCATTTCCTTCAGCCGTATCTCTGAAACACACAGACCATGAAGAAGACCATGAAGAGGACTCAGGTGATGAAGAAGACCATGAAGAAGACCATGAAGAGGACTCAGGTGATGAAGAAGACCATGAAGAAGACCATGAAGAGGACCATGAAGAGGACTCAGGTGATGAAGAAGACCATGAAGAGGATACAGGTGATGAAGAAGATCATGAAGAGGACTCAGGTGATAAAGAAGAACATGAAGAAGACCATGAAGAGGACCATGAAGAGGACTCAGGTGATGAAGAAGACCATGAAGAAGACCATGAAGAGGACCATGAAGAGGACCATGAAGAGGATACGGGTGATGAAGCACACCATGAAGAGGACTCAGGTGATAAAGAAGAACATGAAGAAGACCATGAAGAGGACTCAGGTGATGAAGAAGACCATGAAGAGGATACAGGTGATGAAGAAGACCATGAAGAGGACTCAGGTGATAAAGAAGAACATGAAGAAGACCATGAAGAGGACTCAGGTGATGAAGAAGACCATGAAGAGGACTCAGGTGATGAAGAAGACCATGAGGAAGACTCAGGTGATGAAGAAGACTATGAAGAGGACCATGAAAAGGACTCAGGTGATGAAGAAGACCATGAAGAGGATACAGGTGATGAAGAACACCATGAAGAGGACTCAGGTGATGAAGAAGACCATGAAGAGGACTCAGGTGATGAAGAAGACCATGAAGAAGATACAGGTGATGAAGAAGACCATGAGGAAGACTCAGGTGATGAAGAAGACCATGAAGAGGACCATGAAAAGGACTCAGGTGATGAAGAACACCATGAAGAGGACTCAGATGATGAAGAAGACCATCAAGAGGATTCAGGTGATGAAGAAAACCATGAAGAGGACTCAGGTGATGAAGAAGACCATGAAGAAGACCATGAAGAGGACTCAGGTGATGAAGAAGACCATGAGGAAGACTCAGGTGATGAAGAACACCATGAGGAGGACTCAAGTGATGAAGAAGACCATGAAGAGGACTCATGTGATAAAGAAGACCCTGAAGAGGACTCAAGTGATGAAGAAGACCCTGAAGAGGACTCGGGGGATGAAGAAGACCATGAAGAGGAGATGATAGAGAGCTCTGGTTCCTGTACCTTTGTTTCTGGTGGCCTGGGTCCAGAGGATCCGGGCTACTCCGGTGGTCCAGGCGTGTTTCACCTCCGACGTGGCGGCCTGAAGAATGAAGGTCTGGTTTTTGGACGTCCTCCTTCTGAACCAGATCTCAAACCGCAGCCCGTTTTCTCCTGCGGACTCCGTCAGACCCACATCGGCAGTCTGGAGGACACAGAAGAGGATCTCAGTCTAGACCTCCACAGTGGGGGGGGTGCTGTGGGACTCAGACCTGGTCTGCTGGTTTTACCTTGAAGGAGTGTTTGTAGATGAAGACGTCCAGGCCTCCCTCCATCTTCTTGGGTTTACTGAAGAGAACGAGCTCCTCGAACAGGAAGATGTGACGCTGACATTTCCTCCTGCCGGTCCAGACAGTGAACTCATCCTGACGGATCAGCTGACCCTGTTCCTTCAGGTTCACCTGCAGACAGACAGTTCATTATGAAGGAAGACATACTGAGGAGGAGGAAGAGGAGGAGGAGGAAGAGGAGTTAACACTTTACGTACATCACAGTCTCGGATGGCGTCCATTGCCAGCAGGTCGTTGCCGTGGCGAAGCTGGAACTTCACCATGTTGGTGGCGGACTGAAGGGCATCAAGCTCCGCCTCCTGAGCCCCGCCCACCTCCTTGATGAGGTCAGTGAGCAGCAGAGCGTATTTACTCATCCTCTGCACCGGCTTCAACAGGTAGGACGACAGGTCCATCTTATCACCCAGCTCCACCTGCTTC